CTTGAACCCCAGTCGGCCTCAGCAGATGGCCGCTCACACTAAGCCTAGTTCTGCTGGAGCTTTCTTCCTGTTCAAAGGGAGTTTTTCCTCTCCACTGTCGCTACAAGCATGCTTAGTGTGAGGGGATTGCATTCGAGACAATGAGTTGATGCAATCAACTGGTTTTCCTTAGGTAGAAAACTTTGAATCAATTTGACTGGATGATCTGGTAAACTATAAAGTGCCTTGAGATGAAATGTTGTGAATTGGCGCTGTAGAAATAAACTTAAATGAATTGAATTAAACACCCGTCTTCAGTCTATATATTCAGCTCTATTGCCCATAAACTGTACTTAAAGAGCAATTCACATTGAACCTGCTGATCTGCATGTATCTCAGGTTTATGCAGGGTTTGATGCTGGTAGTAAAAACTACATAAGAGGTGATTAAATAGGTTATTGGAGTTTAAGGTGTGGATAAAGCAGAATGCTGCTACTGTGGGACAGAAACCCTTTCACTGATTCATGGTTTGTTTTTATACTTTTACCTGATTTTTTTTTATTAAAGTCCCAACATACTCTGAGAATAAATAGGGGAATTTTTACAAGGAAAAAAAAAAAAGACTTTCAATGGAGGTGCAAGTATTTTGCCCTACGGCAACGATATTCACAAGAATGCAAGGCATGCTGAATTCAGCTAAACTAGATGAGCTGCTGTCTAAATAAGTCCCAACACTGACACCCTGAGTATGATCATTGATTATTACACTCAGCTTAGATCCAGTTCCATTTGCCTGCAGAGATGCAGCTCTTAATTCAGCCGCAATTCAAAGAGCATTCTGATCAATTCTAAAATGAAATCCATCATGGGGAGCAGCTTCTGCCACTGAGGTTACACCTCCCTCTGCTGGCGACCCCACTAAGCTGCACGCTTCTCCTTCCACCCCCCCACCAAAAAAAAAAAAAAAAAAACATCTGGGATTCAGTACAAGCCGCTGACCCAGACCACAGCCCAGGAATAAGCAGAGCCATTCCAGTCTATGGCTGCAGAGGAATCCGTCAGTCAGCAACATTTCAGAGCAAAGCTTCATCTGACTGCAGATTGCATCCATGTGCTCAGAGGCTGAGCAGACAGGAGAGGTAAAGCCATTTCCCAGGACACAGCAGGAAATCGTCATGATTTTAGCAGAATTTCTATTCAGAGGCTTTTAAAGCCTTGAATTTAATGCAAGTCAGATATCAGCTCAGTCTTCAGTCATCCTCTGGATTTTGGTTTTCACCTAAAACATTTGGTGTTTTGTTTGTCACTGTCAGTTTACTCTTTGCTTGTTGTTTTGATTTGCTCTTAATATGTTAATAATATATGGTGGATATTGGATCTTCATTCACGGCAAAAAAAATGAAATATACGTTTTTTTTTTTTTGTTTTTTTTTTAATCAGTGCATTTTCATCTAAAAATATGTACATTTTTTGTTGAATTTATGAGGTAAGTAAAACACTTTGCAAACGGAACAAGACAATTTACATTTAAAATAACTTTAAACAGCTGCTTTGCCTTAATTCAAGAGCATATTGTCTAATTGTCTTATTTCAATAGTAAAAAAAAAAAACTCAATCCGCTGGCAAATCCTCTGTTTTACTGGCTCAAATTAAGGTTAAACATTTTTTTACAACATTCTAGTTTAGAAAACCAGATGCTTTCACTGAAAAAAAATAAAATCTAGATAATTAAAGTCATTTTTTTCTTAAAATAAGTGCATGTGTTTTTGGATTGAGGAGGTAAAAGACATTTTGCCAATGGAACAAGGCAATTTACACTTAAAATAAGAAAACACAATTGCATTTTCTTATTTCAAGTGCATATTATCTAATTATCTTATTTTAAGAGTAAAAATACTCATTCCATTGGCAAGTCATCTGACTTACGTACTCACATTAAGGGTAAATACACTTAATTTAGGAAATGTTTACTTGTTTCTTAATTGTTTTTCCAGTGCTAGTCATCCCAATAATGCTGCGTTCACTGGAGGAACGATCTAGAAATAAGTAAAAATTTGTTAAATTAAGTGTATTTACCCTTAATGTGAGTAGGTAAGTGAGATGACTTGCCAAAGGAATTAGTATTTTTACCCTTATTTATAATAATATCTAATTTATAATTAGATAAGATGCACTTTAAATAAGACAAGTCAATTGTGTTTTCTTATTTTAAGTGTAAATTGTCTTGTTACATTGGTAAGATGTCACTTTTACTTCCTCATTCAAAGAACAAATGCACTTATTTCAAGAAAAAAATGACTTCTCTAGATTTGATTTCTTCCAGTGTGCAGAGCCTCAGCTGCCAATGGAGATGATCACCAGGGAGAAAACTTTGGTTAACCAACAGGTCTGCACCAACAGTACAGCCAACACCAGCTCCACCATTCTAGTCAACAGACACCGAGAAAAATTAGGGAAAATTAGCCATTTCTCCACAGTCACTCTGAAATATATTGACTTTAGCCAACATAGCGGTAGCTCAGACTCTAAGCAGGACCTCTGGCATGGAGAATCATGTAACAACTCAGCACATAACAACAATTACTTGTTTAATGTGTGGCGAATGTAAACAGAATGATGCCAGTTCACCATCCATAGCAGATTTCATTATGGCTTAGTGGTCATCAGATCCAAAGTCAGGCTTATTCTCCTCACCACTAGGAATGCTTTGGAATCTGCATCAAACTGCGTCAAACTACTTCTTCTCTATAACGTTAACAAGCCAGTTCCCCTTGTGGTTCTTTGAACCAGATATATACAAAGCAGATTTAGCAGAATCTTTCTTCAAAGAGCTTTGATGACACTGTGGGTTTTTTGGGAGGATAAAATCTTAAAGAAGAAACTGTTCTAACTTAATGATCCTGTTGTGCCTTTGCTGTTGATAAAAAGTAAAACTGCTGAATAGTACGTATAGCCAAAGCTGTATAGGGATTCCTATAAAGTCTTCTTTGTATCTTAAACTTTTGATTTACAGATACACAATATCATAAACACAATCCACCACCATTAAACATGGCGTACAACTAGTGTTGCGCTGATGCCATTTTTTGGCCCAAATACTGATACCCGATATCCAATACCTGGCTGTGCATTATCGGGCGATACCGATACCAAACCGATACCATCTGCTTGAAATTGACATGTGTGTATATATGAAGAACTGCATACTACTGGATGTAAAATAATTGCCATCATGGCTTTGTCAAGCTGCTGCCTACCTTTGTGAAGCAGGAAAAAGACTAATACAAAGTGAATTAGTGTTGTCATGATACTAAACTTTTCAACTCGATATCGATACTAAGTAAAATATTTGATACTCGATACCCTTTTCGATACCACACGAATAAAAACATAGACTCTAAAATTCAACTGAAATATTTTCATTACTAAAAAAATACAAGAAATAAATAAAAAAAACAATAAGAATAATATTTTGAGGTTGTATGCTGTGCACAATATCAAGCAAGCTTGATAAAAAAACTTACAAAATTAAAATTAAGTGTTCCTTCCTTGGCTATGTTTTGCAGATGTTTTTCAGTCTGAAACTGAAAAATGCACAGAATTATTCAATCACACAGTGTTCAGAAAGTGCATTTTCCTCTATTCTGCACTTCAGATTAACCTGACTCCGCCAGATGGATTTGCTCCGCATATCCATCTGGAAACCTTCCGTTGAAGTAATTTTGGGAAGGGGCGAAAATACTGGTTAGCTGATTGGCCTATGCTGGTGATAGACGGGCCAAATAAACCAATCAGATCAACGAAGCATATGACGTACTAACAGAGCGACGACGAAGAGGAGCCAATTGATAGATCAAACTCTTGCCGAAACCAGTCGGGAGAAGAGCAAAAACATCTTTTCCTCTGAGAAAAGCCTCCAGAGCAGTGTTTTGCTCTTCTTTCAGTGAAGAAATACTCTGTAATTCCAATAAAACTTGCTCGATAGCCACGCTAACGCTAGTTTCATCGGCTGAAGCCGCCATGTTCTTTAGACTGAACTGTCGCGCTTCTCGTTGCGTCACACCTCAACCCGCCTCAAAGCCAACGCTGAATTGGACGTTCGTTTGGTGAACGGCTCCAAATTTACTTTAACGGAGAGTCTCCAGACTGATCTGCGAGTGAAACCTTGAAAGCTCGCGAGATCAGGATGGTTTCACAAGGCTAACTTTAGATGGCTGTATCGATACTTTTGAAAATGAGAATTGTATCCGGATACAACGTTACAGTATCGATACTTTTGACAACCCTAAAGTGAATCCAGTAGAACTTTTTATTGCCTACCTGGAATGGGTGACAATAGTTGAATAAACCTTTGGCTCTAAAACGATATTGGTGCCCTATTTGTTAGTACTAACAGATACTGGTATCGGTATCGTTGCAACACTACTTACAGCAACAAATACTAAAACTTTTATATAAGCTAAAATTAAAATAAGAGGTAGACCAATACATTGTCTGGTCAATACTTTGGGGAATATTAGAATTGTTCATTTATTTTTAAATCCTCATCTTTATACTATACATGAATGTGTTGAGTCAAATGAAGCGCATGCATAGCTGCTCCCTCCATATGCTATCCACTGATGTTTTGTTTGATGAGTTAATGTTTCTTTATGTTCAAACTGAGGCCTGTGCAACAATTCAAACATTTTGTCCTTTTTATGTAAAATGAGAAAAAGCAACGGCGGCTTCAAAAAGCAACAAAAAACATCAGCAGTATCAACTGGGAGTCAGTAAGACTGATGTTAAAATAATCCTTTTTTTTCTTTCAAGAAAAATATATCAGTCAGTCTCTATTATTAATGATACTTTAAGTGTTTTTTTAATGATTTTTCTCCTTCTGCATCATATTTACTCAACCTTTATCCTGCTTTCTAATGCCAACAGACACTTCTAAAGCTTCGACACCCATCCATTCATCTCAGATGCTTTCTCATCAGATGGACAGCTACAGCAAAGCTCAGAACAGATTCTCAACGTACTGTGGAGGAGTCCGCTTCCTTTGCTGGACCAGTTTCTTCCTCCTCTGTGTGTCTGACGGCCTCCTCAGATTTGGCGATGTCCACCTCTGGAGAAACGGACACAAACAGCAACATCAGTCCTGCAGCACATCCTTATACAGTGGAAGGGTTTGTGTTAAGAGTTAAATGCCTCTAAGGAGCACATATACCATTAATTAAGAGGGAAAATATCCAACCTTTCTGTAAAACTAAAAAAGTAGCATTTTTGGAAAAGAAAATACGCCTAAACATGTTTTCTATTCCGAATGCTGCACTAGAAAAAATGATCTAGAAATAAGTAAAAATTTCTCAAATTAAGTCCATTTACACTTAATTTGAGTAGGCAAATGAGATGATGTGCCAATGAAATGAGTATTTTTACTCTTACAATAAGATAATTAGATAAAATGCACTTGAAATAAGCCAATGTAATTGTGTTTTCTTATTTTAAATGTAAATTGTTGTGTTACATTAGCAAAATGTGTCTTTTACCCTCTCAATTAAAAAATAAATGCACTTTTTTTAAGAAATAATGACTTATTTAGATTTAGTGTAGCTTGGTGTATTGAATAGGAGAGGAAGTGAATAATCCATGAAAGAAGGTGAACTGACCACCATAAGATGTCCAACCTCTGATATCCAAGCTGAGAAAAACCTGAAAACCTGCCTGTGATCATCTGTGATATAACATAGAGCTGCAGCTGCTGTCATACTGGAAATAAATCCACCGGCTTCATAACGACACAGCGCTGTGGGAGCCAAGCAAAGCGCTAACCTTGCCCTCCACCTGTCTTTATTGGACTGGGGTCTGGCGTACCTTTATCAGATGAGTGAAAATTGCAGGCAGAAAAGTGTTGGGAGTTCACTTAAAGATGAGAGACTCCGTAAGTCTCTCTGCCTTTTCCAAACACACCAGCTGGTCTGGGAGGGTTTGCTTTGCAGAACCCTGCCTCCTAGCTGCATGTCGGAGGGCAGGTCACATGCAGAGGTAATGTGACCGCTGCCTGCTGACATCATTGACTCTCTACAGACAGAACATGCATGCACTTATAGGTCCCATAACAACACAGTAACTATTACACTGCAAAAACGATCCAGAAACAAGTAATAATATCTTAAATTAAGTGTATTTACCCTTAATTAGAGCAGGTAAATAAGATTATTTGCCAATGGAATGAGTATTTTTACTCTTAAAATAAGATTAGATAAAATGCAATTGAAATGACACAATGCAATATTTTTTCTTATTATAAATGTTACACTGGAAAAACGATCTAGAAATTAGGGTTGTCACGATACTAAACTTTTCAACTCGATACCGATACTAAGGAAAATACTCGATACTCGATACCATTTTCGATACCACGGATAAAAACAAAGACTCCAAAATTCTACAGAAATATTTTCATTAATAAATAAAATACAATCAATAAATACAATAAAGGTTGTATGCTGTGCAAAATATTAAGCAAGCTTGATAAAAAACTTATAAAATTAAAATTAAGTGTTCCTTCCTTGGCTATACTTTGCACACATAACAATGACACTAGCCAAACTAGTTAAGAAACAAAAATAATTCTCAGCAGTCTGAAACTGAAAAGTGCACAGAATTATTCAATCACACAGTGTTCTGAATGTGCATTGTCCTCTATTCTGCACTTTAGATGAATGACTGTTAGGTGCCACTGGTGGTAGCACTGTATCGATACTTATAAAAACGAGTATTGTATCCGGATACAACGTTTCAGTATCGATACTTTTTTGAGTTTTGATACTTTTGACAACCCTACTAGAAATAAGTAAAAATTTCTGAAATTAAGTGTTTTTCCCCCTAATTTGAGAAGGTAAATGAAATAGTTTACCAATGAAATTATTATTTTTACTCTTAAAATAAGATAATTAGTTTATATGCACTTGAAATAAGACAATGCAATTGTGTTTTCTTATTTTAAGTATAAATTATCTTATTTCATTGGCAAAATGTCTCTTTTATCTCCTAAATCCAAGAACAAATGCACTTATTTTAAGAAAAAATTGCTTATCTATGCTGCTTATCTAGATTTTGATTTTTTTCCAGTGTAATTGTGTTGTTCTGTTGGCAAAGTGTCTCAATTACCACCTCAGTTCAAGAGAAAATGCACTTATTTTAGGAAAAATGACTTATTCAGATTTACATTTTATGCAGTGTAAAAGTATTCAAAGTCGGCGCATTTTCCCATTTTTGTGAATAACCAAAAGGAAAACCCCTGAAGCCTTCAAAGAACAGCAGGATGTGCAGAGATTAAATGACATAGCAATGAACTAAGCAATTACACTGCAAAAAACTATTGAGAAATAATACACTTAAATAAATTAAGTGTATTCACCCTTTAATTTCAAGTAGGTAAATAAGATGATTTGCCAATAAAATTTGTATTTTTGCTCTTAAAATCAGATAACTAGATAATATGCACTTGGAGTAAGACAAGAAATTGTTTTTTTTCTTATGTTAAATGTATATTCTCTTGTTCCATTGGCAAAGTGTCTCACTTACCCCCTCATTTTAAGACAAATTCTATTTTTTGCAGTGTAGTTGTGTAGGATTTTCATTACACCCAAATAAGATAGATTGATTTTTTTTGGCTGTAATGTGAGACTATGCAGAAAGTTAAAGAAGACAATGAAATCCATGCAAGGCCCTAAACATATGAAGCTGCTCTAACCTTAAAAACAATCTTCAGAAATGTATGGCCTTGAGTCTATATCCCAAATGAGTGCAGAATTGGGAGGTAAAAAGCTAAAGAAACAAGTGTGACAGCTGCTATACATCAGCGAGATGTCAGAGTAATGCTAAAAACCTTCTCTAACCACATTTAAAGTGAGCTACATGGCATTTAACTTAGCAGAGCTTTTCCCATTAATCATGAGTAAAGCACTGCATGTGATTTAGAATATTAGCTTGGGAATGAGACACTGACAAACATATCGCCCTGTGATGCATGAGTGTGTGAATCTAAAATAAACCTGCTGATGCAAGTAGATAAATCAGTGTTTCCCACCTTGGTGTGCGGCGGCACAGCTCTCCAGCGCTGCATCCACAGCGTCGCCAGCGTTTGGGCCGTCAGCCATCTGATCCAGAGACACTTCAGCGACAGCAGCAGGGGGTTCTACTTCCACGAGGTGAGCATCCACGGTGTCTGACAGTGGATCAGGGTCCTGTGATAACGAGACGGCTAAAGTATTCTCAGCTGATCCTGCTGAGACCGTCTTCTCCGAGTCTTCCTGTTCAATTTGCTTCGGGACATTTCCACTTTCCTCTACTGCATCCGATTTATCATCCACATCCATCTGTTGATCATCATTAACGGGACCGTTGGCTTCGTCCTTCTCTCCCACAGACATCTTTGATGCGTCACAGTCAACCTCAGCGTTCAAATCAGAGGTGCAGGACTCCCTGATGTCTGTTGGAGAATCCTCTGCCGTTGAAACAGCTGGATCCGAAACTGAATCCTGTTCAGGAAGTTCTGGGAGTACTTCCTCGCTGGACTCAGGAGTCAAATCCTCCACTGCGTGGATGTCGGCTGACCGACTGGATTCAGACTCTGTGCCGTTTTTACTACCATCTGTAGGCGTCAGGGAACCGACAATAACAGAATCCAAAGAGAGATCGCTGTCGCCACCTAATGAGCCATCGTGACAAAGTGATGTCAGATCAGTTGGGTCCTCCATACATCCTGTTGAGGATATTTCTACAGTGGCGTTTGGAAGCAGATCTCCCTCCTCTCTGGTGCCGTTGTCCTGAGCAGGGTGAAATATTTCTGTCGAGGAGCTTCCGCAGGATCTGAAACTGCCTTCCTCATCGCTTGAGACGCGGTGTACCAGGCCTGAGTCGTGGTCAGCCTTCTTTTTAGTCAGCATGTTTTCCGATGAAGCCTCCGAGTAGAAATGGTCAATCTGTGATTCCTCTCTGGAGCCGTCAGCCATGCAAAAACCCAAATTCTCAGGTTTCTCCAAAGCTATATCTTGGGGTTCAGTTGCGTCTTCGCCGCCTGGCTCCTCGCCGCTCGCAGCTTCAGCACGATTCCCGGAATGACAAGCAGCTTCTGGAGCTGAGCCCAGCTCCTGCTCGGCTTTATAATCCCTACCAGCTGTTTCCTGGTTTTGTTCTCGGCTGTTTATGTCTGGCGGAGGTTCCCCCTCATGGAGGCCTTCTATCAGGAGCTGTGGAACAGCAGATTCATGCTGCTCTATTACATCACCGCAGACTATCAGCGGTGGGTTGGGAGGGTCTCCCGGGGTTGATACGGAGCCATTTAACTCTTCCCTCCCATCATCCTCTTCCTCTGGATTGGGCCTGTTGAAAGGTTCCTGGGTAACTTCTCTGTGTTCGTTCTCAGTGTTCTCTCCTTCCAGAGATCTTTGCTTTGCTTCTGATTCACAGGTGATTAAAAGTTCGGAGCTCCCTGACAGCGGAGACTGGCCCATGACTGAGCAGTCTGTGTCTCCGCTTGCTGATGTCTCTGATCCGCTCTCCTCCTCCCTCCTCGTGGCTGTTCTGTCTCCTGCTTCCTGCTCAGGCTGCTCCTCTCCCTCCGTGGCCTTCTGTTCTTCCCGGATCACAGCCTCCTCTGTGTCAGCTTCCTCTGCCTGTTTACCGCAGCCTTCTGCTGGGACGTTTCCCACAGCGCTGTTTTCCCCTTCAGCCTCACCCTGTGCCCTTTCACTCCTGTCACACAAATTCAAACTGGAACTGGAATCAGGGCTCCCCTCCTGGTCTGTCTGGCAGCCCTCTCCCTCAGAGTTCAGACAGAGACACACCCCGTCCGCCTCGGGGTCGAGGCCGTGCTGCAGGGGAGGGATTTCTGACGGTGGAGGGAAACTGCCCTCCGTCTCCAAGTTACAACTCTCCCTAAGCTCACAAACAACAGTGTTGTTTCTCTCCTCTTTGACGCTTTCCCCCTCACTTTCTTTGGTTTCTGTAAGCTGGCACTCTGACGTTAAGGACGGCTGCAGGAGTAAGTCGGTTGTCTCGCCGTCACGACATTCAGCAGCTGTGTGCAGCGAGTCCAACTGTAGCTCCAACACAGAAAGTCCCTGCAGATCACAGAGAAATGTTACATTTCTGTTTTAATTTGGCAGAGGAACCAAAAGAGCTCCTCTCTTGTTCTTATCAGCAGCCAGCTCTGTGATTACATAAGGTGTTTCCCTGCTTGAACAAATAGGCCAGAAGGTTAGAAAAAAAAAAAAAAGAAGCCAGTTAAAAAACAAACAGCCTGAACGAGCAGAAGCAGCAGAGCTCCCAGATAAAACCAGTCAGCCAGGAGATAAGGCAGGGAGGGCCAGGCTTCTCACCTTTGCTTTGAGGTGGTTCAATAGGTGCAGAAGATACTCCACGCTCTCCTGAAGGGTCGGAGCGCGGCGTCCGGGGCGGATGCTCACCGTCAGAGTGTGTGTGTTCAACACTGGGGAGTTGCAGCACACTCGACAGTCTGCAGACACCAGCTGGAGAGTCTCAGGCACCTCGTCCGTCTCCGGGTCCGTCTCCGTCCTGCCGTGAAACGAATGCTGTCAAAAAGCTGTGATAAAAGGTCCCTCCTGGTAAAGCAGCTATTGAACAAAACCGAAATCCTTCTCTATAGTTTGAAACTTATTGAATGTTTGTCCGTTTCTTTTTTTCCCCTCTTGCAGTGATAGTCCTGTGAAGGGGGCTACACCTTCCCGTTTGCGTAATCCTGGGTGGATCACATCAACACCAAGGCCGGCCAGCTGAAGTCACCGGCCTGGCTGAGTGTGACTTCACTTTTCATGAGCCGAATGGAATCATCAACACATGCAGGGAGGGCTGGAGGTTTTAAAACTACACCCGGCTACAGGGAAGCTCTCTAAGTGGCAGTTGTTTTTTTCAGGTAGTGGCATCCTCATTCTGAGTTACGTGCAGACTATTCTGCCATAAACACAGAGAGAAAAAAAGGGCAGCATTTCCACTTTATGATGAGCTCCGGTCCATTAGATAATTAAGTGTTTTTAAACAGAACAATTAAACAATTAGGTTTGGTTAATAGGGGTGTAAATCACATCCATCATGGCGATTGGATTCAGTATCGATTTCCTGACCCAACGATTAGATTATTTTCGATACTCAAGAATACACCACGATACGATTCGATTAATTGGTTCATTTTTTTTTTTTTTTTTCCTAACCTTACAGGCTAGACAATGTTTCAAATTTGAAATCAATGAAAGCTGTAATATTGTTATGCATTTTTTTTTTAGAAACAACAGCAAATAGAGCAGAAGAAGAAAAGTTGCATCAAAAAATACTGCAAAAATACTGCACAAAATCAGTGCAATGAGTGCAATGCAGTACCTCGGCTCCAGATGGCCCCGCCCCCTCCACAGACGCTCCGCCGCACCTCTCCCAAATTGTAGCTGACCGCAAACAGTGCCACAGACAGAACGCAGGCTTCTTTTGTTTTTATGATCGAAATTGCGGAAAACAACTCATAAAGTTTGACGTGCTAGAAGAGCGAGGTGAGATCCACCTGGATCTTCGCTCTTTTTGGCCCTCATGTCCCTCCGTCGTCGGACTAAACTCCCCCCCACTTCCTCTCCGCCTCGGCCGTATCTAGACCCACAGTGTTTAGCACAGCCCACGCTTCAATCTTGAGCATAATTTAAAAATGTCTGTGTCAAGCTCACTGCGACACAATGCTGTAAGAGTATAACCAGGAAGCGAGGTAGGAGGGCAAAATAGGTCTAGCGCCACCGCAGCACGGGAGGGAGAATTACGTCCAGGAGCAAATGGATAAAAATAGACCGGAGAAAAAAAAAACATGAATCGATTATCTTGCGGACGTATCGATGCATCGGATCGTCGGCTGTTTGATCGATGCATCGATACAAAACGATTAATATTTACACCCCTAGTGGTTAATAACGGGTAACTTAAAAAGGAGATGGGTACAGTTCCCAAATCAATTCCCCAATACTGTGATGGGAATGGCACTACCCTGAACTCAGCCTTGGTATGAAGGGGCTGAGCAGTTGGAGCTCATTGTCCATGTTCTTTGAATGCTTCTATCATTCTAGGAAGAAAACTACCATCATGGCAACAATGGATAGAGGAAGCAAATTATCGGACTTATCACATGCAGGTGTTTAAAAAGAGATTCGCTCCTTTGCCATCATTTCACCATAGCGCTTTGTTTTTTTTCTTTATATAATTAGGGTTTATCTCAGGGGTGCTCAAGTCCAGTCCTCAAGAGCTACTATCCTGCAACTTTTTGATGCACCCCACTTTTAAAACACCTGAATCAAATGAGTGGCTCGTTACCTTTCCTCTGCTGGGCTAAATGATGGATTGAGCCGTTCGATTCTGGTGTGTTGGAGAAGAGATGCATCTAAAAGGTACAGGATGGTAGCTCTTGAGGACTGGACTTGAGCACCCCTGGTTTATCGGAACTAAGGTGGGAATGAACTGATAGTTGGTACAAAATATCGCAGAATTGCAAAGATATGGAAGCCGCTAAATGACCATTACCTTCAGCTATAACAGGGCGAGGAAGGTTTGGACCAAAAAGGAAAGTAAAAGAAAATGTTTCTTTGTTGCAATATTACTATATACATTAGCATTTTGCAAAAAAAAAATAAATAAAAAAATGTAACATGCAAAACAGGTTTCAATCTGAGTTAATTTAGAGAATTTTCTGGGACATCAAAACCTGTTACTCCTTTAATGCCGGACATACATTGTGCGATTTTCTGCCCTTTTCGGGGCGACTTTCCAGTTCTGCGTGAATTTTTCGATCAGCCCGACTTTCAGCCTGATCGTGCGTCCTGTAGTGTAAAGGGGGTAACGAGGGGCGATCAGCCCCTCACGACCACCTCCTGATCAGGAATTGTAAGGTCGGCAGAAAATCGAACATTTTGGGTTTTTGCATGGCAAATTGCTCAGTGGGAAAACAAGGATTCTTCTTCTGCTTCTCAGATAAAAACATAGAAGCATGTTCTTTCTGTTAGCCATGTCTTTGTCCAAATACGTACGTCATCGCATTTTCTTTTTAGGGCTTTCAGCACAAAATTGCACAAATTGCCACAGCAGCATGTTTCACTATAGTTCCTCTTCTACTGATTTGGCTTCTGGATAGATGAGTCCGAGTAGCGCCATCTCACTGTGGAGCTGAGTCCAATCTGGTTTTTAGACATGCAGATCACATCAGAGCGTCGTGCTGAACAGTGTGAGAACATACATGGGGAGCTGTGAACTCTGTACGCTGTAGCTGTGTGCAACGACTGAAAAAAAAATCGCACAGCGTATGCCCGGCTTAAGGTATACAAATTATGGGAAACAGCTGTGTCATAGCTAAGTATTTTTCTTGCTTTTCTATGAGATAAAAATGTAAATAATAAAAAGGAAAAAAGAATGCATATATTTTTTAAATCAATTGACCATCTGGGGATTAAATGTCAGTGCTCTTGGGGAGGATTATTATTAAGAAGGCTAACCACACAGTTAGCTATCCCTCGGTTTAACTCAGAGTATACATTCAGCACTGCAGAGGGAAAACTTTTTTAAACCTAAGTGTCACATTCAGTAGTATTATTAGCTCAATGCTGCAATATTTGACTCACAACAGCAATATTATAATATAATATCTGTAGCAGTGATGTACATATGTGTTTCCCAGCTGGGGTTATGCGTGCCCCTAGTGATCCGTGTAAACCGTGCATTGCAAGGGTTACATGAAAAGATTTGATTTCTTAGGTAGTAAATTAGAAAAGGGCTGGGATCTTTTTTGGCTTTCTGAGGACCCAACTGAAAAATTTAACACACTTTTATCGACCAAAAAGGCAGTTTATTGTTATGTTTTTGAGTTCAACTTTAGCTGCGACTCACATCCAAACCAAACGGAGGAACAGGCTGGAAGTAGAGAACAGCCTAGGATCTGCTGTTTTACACACTGAGCTATTAGAGCTCATCAAAGCAGCTCAGGTGTTTTCATGAAGACAAAGTAGAATTAAGTCAGTCTGACTATAATTTTTGTTCTGTATTTTGTTCCCAATTCATCAAGTTTAAATGTGATTATAAGGGAGTTACTCAGAGGAGCTCCAGATTTATAAATACAGGTTTATAATAGGATTTTATTTTTGATTTATTTTGACATCTTACTAACTTCCAGGCAACATATTTATGTTATCTTGATGGAAAACATAAAATAATAAAGATTAAATGCTCAAATTAAAAGATTAAGTAAAATAGTCTTCATTTTAGTTATTGTATATTCCACTTTTAGACAATCTGCAATACTTTTGACTGAGAGGGGAAGTCATGGTAAGACAAAAAGGGGAACAAGTCAAAAATAGTTTGGAAAACACTGATGTACATGTCTGGTACACATGGTGTGTTTATGTGAACTCCTCTCCAGACAAGAAGAGAGACACTATGGCAAAGAAAAATGCATCCACTTTTGGGGAAAACACTAAAAATGCTGAATCACAACATAAACTAGCCATGGGCACCATGTTTGGTAACATGCAGTGTGTACATAGCAAGCAGGTCAGACCAAAGTACACCGTTTTAACAAACAGTATGCTTTACCAAGTTTGAAGCTTAGGGTTACAGGAAACAGATAAAGCAAAATAGCCATCCTCTGAGCTTTAATAAAAACAAAAGGAGAACCAGAAGGATGCTACGGGTGGTCAATGCGGGACACGAGAGGCTGATCAGGGTCACCTCTTTAGGAAATTTAAAAATAACTGTGGTAAACTTCACAAAAAGTATCAGTTATAAACCGTTCTGCAGTCCTTGTTATGGCCATGTTTTATTTTCTATAGACACAGAGTCTATTACATATATCTAGTCATATATCTGCACCTTTACCTCCGTTTCCAATTCAATTCAGTTTAATTCAGAAATACATTATTAACCTAAATTGCAAAAGTCGCATGGTGCACATACTGGCCATAAAGTAGGATGCTGTTCTTTACTATTAAAAAAACCCTGTTTCTTATGTTTTATTTGACTTTTTTATAATCTGCCCCATTCAAATCCCGGACATTATTATGGTTTTTTATTTACATGAGGACAAAACTGCAGTCCAAAACCCCTGCTCATCCTATGGGTAGTAGGAGCCTCTCTTTATGTATTGCAACCAGTGGGATGCGGGGGGGGGGGGCATAAATGCCTTCAGAATAAAGAAACATTTTGGTTTTGAAATATTCCAGGAGTACTAAACGTAGACAGTCTTAGGCTTGAAACTAAAGCAGTGATGAAAGCAAGAATATGAATCAAATAACTTCAGAGCATTTTGACATTTACGATTTTAAAGGATTTAGCAGAAATCTATTTAAACAAATGTTAACAGCTTGAACAATTTAATATTTAAAGAAAGAGGAATAACATCATGCTTTCCTTCTTTTAAACAAAGTAGATGTACCAGAGGTTATAACACCTAAACATCCCTCACTTGGACAGGAGTTCATGGAGATGTTCATGTCCACGCTGCGTTGCTAGAGCAGCTGGGGTGTGTCCCTCTTTATTGACCAGCTGAAGGGCTTCCCTGGCTCCTGGTTGCCGCAGCAGAAAGCGTGTCACCCGAGAGAGGCCGCGGCGTGCTGAGAAATGCAGCAGAGTCTCCTGAGGGCTCGGGCCTGCAGAGGAAGAGACAAAAGATGACAAATGCACCAATACATCCAAGCTGGACAAAACAAAGAAAGGCAGAGAAAAGCTGAGCAGGGAACCGATTTGTTGATGTCACATACCATCACCTGAAGCAGCTCAGCAACACACAAACTCTGCCAAATGAAAGAAGGCGGTCCAGTAAATAATTCACAGAAACAGCCAGAGTGAAAAAAAAACTTCTGAAGCTGCATCTCACACTAAAAGCTCCAGCAGGACGTAAAATTTAGCAAAGCCACTAAATCTCTACACATGGTTTGGTCTCAGCAGAGGTGAGCCACATCCAAGTGCACCAGATTCCCAGTTTTAATTTAGCTCACTATGTGCCCTCTGTCTCATGCCGCCTCTTAATAACACCGTAAAGCGCAGAGTTGCTTCCATTGACGATTTATGTCTCTTCGTGGAAAAACCTCCCCATGCCTGCCAAAGCAACAGGTTCTGGGAAAGGTTGCCTCCAGTCTTAGAGGCCAAACAGCTCGGCTACTGGATCTACCACACGCTGGCTCCTATTTAGCACTCCATCTTTCTTGGTATGGAGCTGATTTAATTCTGGGTTCATATCTTAAAGCCAATCTATGTTTTCCTACGAATATCCTCAGTAAAATAAGTTCTACTCTCCAAACGGTCATGAAAGTTGTTGCGCTACAAAAACAGGAAACGTGTTCGAGGGTAGCTCTGTGTGGTGCAGCCAATTATGACCCAATTTGGGAAGAAAGAGGGAAAACTTATCAGCAGCTCAACAATTATCCAGCAACATCTATATAATCAGCAGTGTCTGCAAATGAGTGTTTCCAGCCCATTTACCCTGGGCCATTCCCAACCCCCCTGCCCTGATGAACTTTTAATATAATTGCTGAAATGTGACGCTCCGGTTGGTCGAGCCCGGCCGGACTGGAATGCGAGATGCCGAGCAGCAGCAGGAAATGCTTGGCTGGTGAGTGTTTTGGTGGTTTAACTATGCCATTATCATGCAGGGAGAAAGAAACGCATACAGTTATGGCTAAATGCTTCCACATCGAATGCTAAAGGCTTACAAAGACAACAGTTTAAGATTAGAATATGACATTGGACCCAATCGAACATTTAGTGGAGAAATGTGGGCTGAATTAAAGGATTGTTAAATACCCTCTCAATGGTTATTTTCATAAAGTTAATTTGAACCGACAACCATTGGAAGGCATATTCTGAAGCAGTACGTAGCTGTAAAGTGAAACTCTAAAACAATAGATGGTTTAAAACTGGGTCTGAAATAAAACTCAGAAAAAAGTGTCTTTTTACTGCAAACAGAGCCACAGATTGCCCTAGTAGTTTTGTAACTCTTTGAACTGAAATTTTTGGCCATTCATCTTTGGAAAATAGCTTAAAGAGGAGAAAATGAGACGATTGACTTGAAAAAAAAGACACAGTAGACGGAGAACTATGCACACACCAACGCTCGTAACTAAGGGCAATGTAAGATAACAGTCATGTTTTAATAACCACGGTAGAGAGCCGGAAAACATGTGGCTACATGCAGGAAGATTAAATTCAGTGACTAAATAAATTGTAGTAATACTTTTATAAGTATAAGTGGAGTGGCGGCCTAGTGGTTCGGGCATTGCACTTAGAATCCTGAGGTTTTGAGTTTGAGTCTCACACCCACAGACTGATACTCTTGGTCCCTGAGCAAGGTCCTTAACCTCCCACTGCTCCCCGGCCGCTGTACAATGGCAGCCCACTGCTCCCCGAGGGGATGGATTAAATGCAGAGGGTTCATTTTGTTGCTCTGTACATGTGACTGGAGACTTCCACTGAATATTAGAGGCCAGATGCAGAATAGTTCAGGAAACCGCTGATCTGAAGAATTGTTTGTTAACTTAAACTTTCTGTCTAAGGTTACTGTCCAGCTAGAGGAGGAAGTTCTGACTCATAGTTTTTTCTAACAGGTTTTCTCCTAGTATTGCCAGATATTTTTGGCACCATCCATCCTCCCTATAAAGTGCAGACTACCTATGTCTTTGCTGATGAAAAACATGATGCTGCCACCATCACTGTGTTCAGAGTTAATTTTCTGCAACACAGATCTGTGTTTGGGGTACTTGACCAGACCACCACATGATTCATGCTCTCTTAAAACCGGGCATATGCTGTGTGATTTTTTCAATCGTTGTATGCAGCTACAGCTCACACTGTATGATGGAACCGCAGTGTTTCGTCGTATAGTGTGAGTTCACAGCTCACGATGTCTGTGCAGCACGATGCTCCACAGTAGATGGAGCTACTCGGAATCGTCCATCCAGAAGCTAAACCAGTAAAAGAGGAATACGAAGCTCATTAGAGTGAAAAGCGCAGCGTTGGTAATTTTGTGCTGAAAGGCCTAAAAAGAAAAGGTGACAATAAATTTTTATAAAGACATGGCTGAGCAAACATGGCTACTGCCGTCTGTCAATTTTACAGAAAAAACTGTATTTCACCCATTGCACCCCCGCCATGCTTCTATGTTTTCATCTGAGAGGAAGAAGAAGAATCATTGTTTGCCCACTGAGCGATATCCCCACGACGGTCGACTGAAAATAAAACCTGTTTGATTTTTTTCCCCGACCTTACGAATTCTGATCAGTTATCAGTTATTGAGAATGTCATTCCTAATTTAGCTTTGAGATTCTGAACCTTCCCAGTGGACCATTCACTGTTTACAATACATCATAACTACTGTACATCATACATATGCTTATTATAATAGAAGCTCTGCCTTAAAAGGAAACGCCTTTTTTTTTTTTTACATTTGGCCCTTGATTTTACGTTATTGCATCATGTTCTATAAGTTTTATGTCATATGGAGCTCTTCTGAAGATATTCCGTTGGGTTATATCCAAGTAACGTCTTCCTATGGACAACGACTTGAAGCGCAAACTAAACTGTTCATAATTTATTCTTTATGGTACGCCAGCATTCATAACATAGGCGAATCACTGTCCCCCAGACATACGCGTTTATATTTTATACTTTTATCTTTTAAAAACAAAGCGGAGTGTGTATGACGTCATCCGCGTGCGCCGGCTACTATTCATTCATCCTGTCCACTGAACTGCTGCTAGTTTTGCTCACATGCCTGGAAGATGTCTAGTGCTGCTACCACAGATGATCTCGCTCTCCAAATGGAATTGAACGATTCAGATTAGCTAGAATGAATACATCACCATCTCTTTATTGTTTGGCCTGTGCAGCCCTCAGCTTTTTTTTTTTTTTTTTTTTTTTTGGAGGAGGGGGGGGTGGGTGGGTATTTCGCTTAATTCTGTGACATTTCTGCTAAAATAGTAATATTTTCAAGTGTATTTTTCCCATACATTCACTACACCTTAATAATGAAATTATTTCTAGCTAAGAAAAACCGACTAGTTTTAAGCCTTTAAATGAACTGGTATCAAGTACATTTGCCTTGTTTTTAAACATTTTGTATGCTTGTTTTGAGCAACAATTGGTTAGAGGACATTTAATTCTAAGCAATAATGACTAATAAATGAGAATACATTGCTTAAAATAACAGAAAAAATCTTTACAAGTTAAAGAAAAATAGATTTTTATACTTGGTTTAAGTTTTTTTGGATGCTTACTACTTAGATATTATGTTCTTGTTTTAAGAAATCTTACCAAGTCTCATTTGCTTGCTGCACTGGCAGATTATTTTGCTCAAAATAAGCAATTATTCTCTTAAAACACTATATTTTTTTCTTATTTTTTTAGAAGGCATTTTTTGTTGTGTACTTGTGCCATTTCCAGACGCACTGAACGGTTTAAAAACCTCATATTTCCGTAAACCTAACAATGCAGTACATTTCTCCACGCCGTTTTCCCTGACCCGTCTGCTGTGTCTTTTGGGCCTCTGTTGTCTGTTCTCTAATGCTCTTTAAAAAACTCTGAAGCATTCTCAGACATTCATTCTAAGTCTACTAATTTGGTGATTTCTAAAGAAAAAATGAGAAACAGATTTTATTAGAAAAATTTTTTAAGCAAGGTGGGGCCTGAACAGAACTATGACGTCTTCTGGTTTGTGATAGAAAAACAATAGATGTCTATTCTGTGTTCTGATGTGAGTCTTTAGGTTTTTAATGAGTTATTAGTGGTTAGAGGCGAATCGAATCCTCTACTAATCTAAAAAAAGGACAGAATGACTTGATCTTTACATTTAGAGCTAAAATTAGCTCTAAACATAAAGATATAGAGGCGTGCCAAGGTACTCTGCTGTATGGTGAGAAGAGCCCATCACATGAATCCCACTGAGGCCATATAGCATTGTGTAAACTTGTCAAAAAGGCTCCTGTTAGCATAAAGCAGACCTGTACTGTACTGTACTGGTGTGATGAAAAACTTAGAAATGATACAAAATTATCTCTACAAGATGGAGTTGCTTGAGGCTGCGGATCCCTTCAGACAGATTTATTTCGATGTGATCTATAACTCAGCGTCCAAAGATCATTTAAGGCTTGCTGCAGCCGCCTGCTCAGACCGGGTGAACAAACAGGGAACTGTTAACCATTTTAATGACATGCAAGATTTCCCAGGTGAGATGAACATCCCTGACAACAATAAATAGCTGGCAGTGGTGTGAGATCAGTGACTGCTGTGGGCCCACAGCGTGAAGGATGACTGAGATAAACCACCGCCACCTCCACCTACATTTCGCCGCTATCCATCATCTGACAGATCTGATAAATGGAGCGCTCCTCTCTCCTCCCTGCAGTTCGCCGCAGCAGAACGTCTCGTGTTGAAGAGGTGACATATTGCGCAGCAAAGCCTATTAGAGCACACATCAGTCACCGCAGCTGGAAGCAGCCTTCCACGTCCACGCCGTGACAACTGATTCCGATGCAAATGAGAGAGAGGGCGTGTCTGTGTGTGCAGCGGTAGAATCAAAGGACTTATCACTGTTACTCTTATTTCATCCAGGGGGAAGCCATTACCAAAAATGCCATCAGTTTGTTTGACAGAAAACAAAGTATTAGAACCTTTTAATTAGCGAGCAGGCTGTTAATGCCAGCCACACTCCCTGCGTCATGTACGCCTGTTTTTTTTGTCAGTTATGTAAAACAACACAACCTAACTTGTCAGTTACGTTGGCTTAGTCAGAAATCCAAATCTGAGTTGAGCCATAAGATATTATCTTAGCAACAGCCAGAGGCAGCACACTAACTACCCCCACAAGTCTTATTTATGCTGCTTCACACAGAGCAATTACCTCCCAGAGTTTATCATACACATCAGCTCATTTCGCTCCCTTTAACTGATTACAGTGAAATGAGTCAACGGCCAGAGAAAATTACCACTTTCATTTCGATAAAATCGTGTCTTATTCTGCACTGATACATCCTCTTCTCAGCAGCAAAACTGCTGCATGTTCTCAGAGCAGATGAACACAAGTTTTAGATTAGGGTTCACACTCACTGCAAAGGCCAAAGTCACACAATACGACGATATTTTTTTAAATGCATGTAGTTCGCTCTGGCTGTGTCCAAAGTTTGTCAGTAATGGCTATTTTTGTGTTTTTGTTATGTCCATTATTAAATAAACCTCTCTGTGCATATTCATAACAATTGATTGATTGACTTGATTGATCTCAGAGTGGTGAAATTTACTCAAAATGAAGAAATAATGAAGGTAGAACACTGCGTGTGCCGAGGGGGTAAACGAGGAAGTAAAGCAGCGAAGCAAGTTAGCACCTCTATGCAAAGTTGTAAAAAAGATAAAGTTTAAGATTTTATTGTGATAAAATACAAATAAAATACTAAACTCCAGGAGGGGTTTTACTCAAACTGACCTAAAAAAAAAGGTATGAACGATACAGTTTGCTAAAACAGAAGCTAAAGCTGCTTTAGATCAGGCATCCCCAAAGTCAGTTCCTGGAGGAATCAGCTGTGCTGGAGCAGTGAAACCTCTAAAACCTGCAGGACGGCGGCCCTCCAGGACTGACTTTGGGGATGCCTGCTTTAGATGAAGCTAAGCTAATGAATGCATGATTAAACTCCCTTATTAATACTGATACCAGTCACGCCAAAGCTATCCTTAGGCTCTAAAGTACAAATGATTTTAGAAATAGATAGATTGATATTTTCTTGCACTGATGCTGTATTCATGTTTGCATTTGTTGGTTTGGGAAATTTCTTCCACCTTTATGTTCTATTAGAAGGCTCTGAGGAGTATTCACTAGAACTAAGAGTTGCTGTAATTCTTTATATATATATATATATATATATATATATCTTCTGATCTTCAATCACAGCAAGTTGTCGCTTTACCCTGAGGAATTGCACTCAATTGGGCTCTATTAAGTAGCTGCGTAAATATTCACCATTCTGTGGCACTGCTGGAATTTGTCAACCATGTCTGTTGATATTTGCTCATCGCACTTCAAGCTGTATTTTATTTAAGCACTAGAAGGGACTGTTAAAAAATATATATATAGATTTTCCTAAAATGACATTTTCATAAACAAAAAATTTGCTCATCCAATGAAATTGATGAATCGCTCAGCCCTATTGCAATATTAATATCAGATCAGGACATCTAGTTAGGGGACGGAGCAGATGGTTGATTTAAATCCACTCACCAGGACATTGGAGGTAATTTGATTTGGTCTTTTAAAGACACATTAGAACCATTTTTAGCTTGGAGTAAAGATATTAGAATTCAGCGCAAAAGTTCAAATTTTTGAATCTGCAGTGGGTCAAAAAATATACATACAGGCACAGATATATACTTTCTGACTAATGTATGGTTAAAACATTCATTGAAGTTGCAAAGAAACTAAAAATTAGGAATATTTGATAAAGATATTTCTGATGACGACACAGAGTCTCAACTGTCCATCTTCTACCAAAAATTGCAGTTCAGAAATTTGAAGGTAGTCCTCCTTACAGTAACCTGGTAGCAAAACAAACCCTCAGCATGATACTCCCACCATCCTGCTGTATAGTTGGTAGTTTTTTTTGTTTTGTTTTTTCCCAGTTTCATAGGTTCAACTAAAATATGCCACATGTTAGAGGTGGAGGATAAAACTTCAGCTTTCTATGCAGTGAGATGCAGACATGCACAATCCTGACTCGACTGAAAAAAAAAACAAAAATCAAAATCAGATTGTCTTTAAGTTGCAATTTTGAGAAACATAAAAGGCACAGAAGCACAACGGTGTGGGATTTCTGATGGAAACATTAGCGTTGTATTCAACCCATTCTACACTTTCAGCACCAAAGAGGAAATGACTTGGAAAACAGGCAGTGAAAACCTAAAAGTAAATATTTCCAAACAGAACTGAGATGAACTTAAGAATTGATACCCGCTTGAAGAAAGATAGAAAGTTTATCTAACTGTGACAGGCACCTGACAGCCAGGCAAACTACCCCCTTAGCCCTCAGGGAGAGATGCTAATTACAAAGTTATTACAATGTTTAAAGTGAAGGATCTACAACCGTTCAGATGCAGTAAGAATCGGGAGTCTGTGAAAGGATGCAGTGTTTGGATTTATTATACCTTAAAGTGTTGGCTATCACTAAAGGATTTCATGTGGACCAAGCTGTGCATTTTCCCATGTATGTTGGCATGCATGTTACTTTAGACCTCACAGGTCTAAGTGTAAATGAGCTGAGAAAAGGAAATCAGCTAAAAGGGATTTAGCTTACAGATAAAGTGAGAGACCTTTAACTCAGTGTGATTCAGGTGGGTTGCTGTTTAGTTCAGAATGTTCAGGGGACCATAACTCTTCTTCAGATGTAGTAGAGGGAATTTATATGTCTTCTGCTAGTGAGGAGAAATATTAGGACACCTAGTCTCAGAGTTGGGTTGATTGTTTCATCAGTAGCATTATAACTGTGACGTCACTGCTGGAAGATGTCAGGAGTGAGGTGTTACTATATTTAGGCAAAAATTGCCGCTCCCACTCAGTGATCGTAACAAAAATGATTGCTTTTATTTTTTTTTACAGATTAACGCTAAATTCATTAAATCACATTCAACGTATTAGTTTTAGGTATAAATAATGATCCATTGGTTATTCTTAAGGAATAATCAATGGATCATTATCTATACCTAAAGCTAATAAGGACCTTGCTGACCAGACTTTTCCTTTAAGCACTGCTCTGAGGCACCGCCTCTTTTATTCTGCCAGTGGCAGCCATTTTGGAATTCACTCCTTCCGGGGAATTTCTACACCTCATTTTCTATCGCTCTCCTGTTTTACCCCTAAAAAATGGTTCCAATGAGTTATGAGTCACATTGCAGATTTTTTAAACTTTAATCTCAACTTAAGTCATTGTGAAAGTGAAATGAATACTTAAATTTGGGGCTTGGACCAGCAGCTTTGTGATCCATGTTCCAGTTTGTGAACATACAGAAATCTTTCTGCACTTTTCCATCTGCTCATAATGGCCAAAAATAAAGCAGGTGAATTAAGCTTTAGTCCAGCAAACAGAAATGACTGGGATCATCATCAAGGTAGCTCCCTGTCCCCACTCCCCAAGTACAGCGATGAAACAGAAAAACCCTGTAGATCCAACAGTTAAGTAGCTGCCAGCACTTCTTTTTAATGTTGATCACGCTGTGAAGAGTGAGCCAAAAACAGACAGAGAACACATCAGTGTTTTATGGGGTGCTGCTGAAAAGCCAAATACTAACTCAGATGGTATTACTGCTGATTGGAAGAAAAAAATGCATCATTCAAACTTCCGCCTTATTTTAGATTACTGACAGTAATGAAGCTTTTGGTATAAAAAAAAAAAAAAAAAAAAAAAAAAGTGAACAATATTTTATTAGAGGTTGTGCAGTACAGCCTTAAAAAACTAGAGTTTTTTTTTTCTTCTGGCCTTAAAAAAAAAGACTTTTTTTATTATTATGATAGTTTCTTTAATTTATCCATGCCCCTTCTAACATAAATTTAAGACACCAATTAACCAAAACATCCTTACTATTTTTGCTGTAACATCATCCTGTATGATGGAAGTTAAACTGGAAACTCTTCACCCAAAACATAAAGAATATTAAACCCATTGAGACAATATATAGGAACTAAAACTGCTGAAGAAGTGACTAAGAATCTTTAAAAAGAACAAGAAATAGAGGCGTGGCTTAGATCAAGCTGGTGTGCAAAAAAAAAAAAAAAAAAAACATGACATGCTAACATCTTGGGTCCTTAGATGTGCACATCTGATGGATAGATAATACTAAATATGCATTTGCAGATGTTATTGCAGGGATATTAAGCATGATTGAACATCTCATTATTTGAACTATTTTAGAAAACCCTGCTTTAATGTCCAAGTATAAAATGTTGTTTTATCATAACATTTTATTAAGATAAGTTTGTGGCTGAAAATCCCAAAATGCATAAAACAAAAAAGAAAATCAAGTAGATGAATACTTTAATAAACTGTAATTGTGTTCCTCACTCACCAGAGCTGTTGGCCGGTTTGCTTCCCAGTAGGCTCCATCCTGGAGGCAACTGGAGGTGGTGGAGGGCCAGTGCCAGGCTCTCATCCAGGCGCTCGCACTCTTGCAGGGGAATCTGACACTCGTCCAGGAGCAGGGCCCCATCAAGGCCATCAGCTCTGCCTGCTGCGCTCACCTATGTGGAAGGTGATTAGAGGGATGAATCAGGTTTTAGGAGGGAGAGATTATTTTATATTATTTCTATAATATTGGACATTAACTAGATGCCTCGGAATAACGAAAGGCATACATTTAGGATGTTACATTTCCATGAGGGTGCAATTTGTAGCTGCAGCTGGATTATCCTGTTCAGCTTTAAAAATGTTCAAAAGAAAATAATATTCTAGAAGAACATATGAGAGACAGAATCCTTTTCTCTTCAATAAAAATATAACCAATGTTAGATTTCAAACAGACTATGAACAGAATGAAACAGAATTCAGTGATTGAGTATCGCTGTGAGACATCAGGGCTTTTGGGTTTTAATGTCAAAGAAAAATGAACAATGCTGTGAAAGATACTATAATGAAAGCTGAAAGGAATACCCACCAAAAACTGGGCCATGTCAAAAGCCAAATCCTGGAAAAAGCTGAATGGATGCTCAGCCACTGGAGCCACGCAAGCCAGGCAGGAGGCTGGCTCCTCCGAGCTCCCACTGGTAGTTTGGGTGGCTGAACATAAGGTGACCAACACCACCTCACAGCAGTCATGAGCTTTTCAATACAAGGAGAGAAAAAAATGGGAGAAATCAGAGGGGGAAAACTAAATGAAACAAAATTATGCATTAGAAACCTTCTAAGAATTGATCCACACAAATACTTCAACCAATTCAGCTACTTGCTCAAGAATTAAAACAGCGTTTTTAGCCCTTTTTGGCCATTTTCAACATAACCATCATGAAAACACAATAATCCATTAATATAAGCAGAGGCATTTAAAAACCTTAGAAAAACAAATACGAGATGGAAATACAAAATCCCAGTTTACAGTTGTGCTCGGAAGTTTTCATGCACATGGTCGAACCAGAAAACATATGTGCAGGAAATGGGGGCGTTGCAGGTGATCTACAAAACATCTGGAATGAGGAAGACTTGTAGACACGTTCAGTTTTCCCCATTTAAATGGGCAAATTCCATGTGCTGCTGGTAGTAGAAAGGTCAGAAAAGAAAAAATATTTTCATTTTTTTATAATCGTCTTGATGCCAAAAAGAGCCCGACAGATTTTGCTTTCACAAGTAGAGAAGTACAGCTATCGCCATAGTGTTCAGCTTGATTTATGCATATTAAATTATTTATGTGGTAGCTGATGATAAAAATATGTGCTTTCTGTATGGGAGTGAATCTCTAAGTACCTGGAACCAAGCACCAACCAAGTAGAAAGAAGTTTTAAGACAGGTTGTCGCAGGTAATAATAACTAAGAGGTAGCAAAGAAAAACTAACAAGGATGTTAATGAGGATTATTATCTATAGTTACATTTAAATAAGTGTCTGACAATGCTCCAAATATGAAAAGAAACAAAAAGGTCCGGACGTTTAAAAGATTTAAAATCATTCATAAAACCTGGAAAAAATACTTTTTCTTCTTTTCTGACAGAAAATTTTTAACAAGGTTATTCTCTAAACAGCTGGATTTATCTCACCTAACTCCTCATAACATCTCATTGACCGAAAATATTACAAAGCAAGGTAGGCCCATAATAATTTCACAAAAAAACCTATGCTACATAAAGATCCTCTTAAGGAACATTAGATTGGAAAAAGATGATGACTTTCAGGTGTGTGCTCTCTGGTGACTATTAATATTATGTTTTGTTGTTTATCTGAAGACTTGCTAAATATTGAGACTGATTATTTCCAGGTTTGAAAAATTATTCCATTTGCATATCCTCCCCTTTTTGTGTTTTATGTTTATTACAACTTGGTCTGCATATTAATGGAGGAAGAAAAAAGTTTCATCCCCTGTGCTTTGATTTTGCACACCCAAATCACTGGAGTGTCTTTTTTTATATACCGTATTTTCACGACTATAAGACGCACTTAAACGTCTTTTTTTTCCCTAAACATGTGCGGTGCGCCCTTTGGTGCGGTGCACCCTATGTGTGTTGTAACTGCGACTTTTGAGACCACCTCATTGAGGAGATGATGAAAGAGTGGCTGAATGTAAGGAGACCAGGTGTTTTTTTTCCACTCATCACCATCGCTGTTAATCTGACTCCATGGGTGCCCATCTCACAGCTGATGTGAAAAACATGGAGAAACAAATTAACGCTGTGCTCGCTGTTCAACCGCTCGACATCGGTGTGAACCGGACCCAGCAGGTGCAGCAGAAGCAGCGAGTTTACATGCAAAGTCAATGGTTGACGCGCGTATAAGCGCGTTTTGAGCAGCAGGCGCAGCGTCGGGAGCGTTTAAGTATCTGACGCACGGCCAACGCGCTGCTGCTGCTCGAGATGGAAAATTGAAGTTTTGCTGCTGGACGCGCCGCATCAACCAATCAGAGAAGCTGATCTGGGAGCTGACAGTGAGACAGACACAGCGCTCTGATGACATATGATATTAACGCAAATGAAAAGGGCTGGATGGATGAGGAGATGATGAAAGCGTGGCTGAGGCAGGTGTATGTGAGGAGAACAGGTTTTTTTCCACGCATCACCATCGCAGTTAATCTGTGACTCCATGCGTGCCCATCTCACAGCTGATGAGAAAAACATGGTGAATCAAATGAACGCTGTGCTCGCCGTTATCCCGGGAGATCTGACAAAGGAACTTCAACCGCTCGACATCGGTGTGAAGCGGCCGTTCAAAGTAAGGCTGCGAGCGGCGTGGGAGCGATGGATGACCGACAGAGACCACAGTTTCAGGATAAGTGGAAGGCAGCGCCGGGCAAGTTACGCCACAGTTTGCGGATGGATTGTAGATGCTTGGACTAACGTGTCTGCTGGCTCTGTTGTTCAAGCTTTCGCAAAAGCAGGCATTATTTCTGAGGAGCCGCGCTGCACGGAAAGTGACTCTGACAGCGAAGAAGGGGAAATTGGCATGTCTGATTTAGCGCAGCTGTTTAATTCAGAAACAGAGGATGATGACTTTGATGGGTTTGATTAATACTTTGTAATAAATACATTAATAAAGCACAATCATACTCAGTTTTGCTCCCGCTCTATTTTTCTACCTGAAAACTTAATTCAACAGCAGCCTCTGGGCGGGTCTCCTCCTCTTCACCGCGGCGGCTGGCAGGTGTTTTTTCATCTAAATAATCTAAATCTTGCAGCTATATTTGCTGTGATCAGTGGGAATAAAGTAGTTTTAATATGTTTTTAAGTGAGAAAGTCCACCTGAAAACTTCATAATTGCAGTCAGTTCATCCAGATTATCTATTTCTGTCGGAGGCACTCAGACCCCCACATACCAGCGGTGCACCGACAGTAGAAATCCCTTCATCAGCAGCCTCTAGGCTGGGCAGCCTCCAGGTTCACCGCGGCTGCTGGCAGGTGTTTTTCATCTAAATAATTTTAGCTGCAGGCACCAGGATACCGGTAATAAAAGCGAACAAATTCCGTCGGCAGCTTCCAGGATTTTAAGTTAATTTAGGAGTGATCACAGCGCTGTGTCATCTGAGATGTGTCTGTCTCACGGCCAGCACCCAGGTTTGATTAATAGTTTGTAATAAATACAAGAATAAAGCACAGTCATACTCAGTTTTGCCCCCGCTGTATTTTTAAATACGCAGTACAGGTATTTAAAGGTAGTAGAGGACATGTACCTGCATATAAAAAACGCGCCCTATAGTCCGGTGCGCCTTATGTGTGTGTTAAATACAGAAATGGGACACATAACTGAGAGTGCGCCTTTTAGTCCGGTGCGCCTTATGGTCGTGAAAAACGGTATATATAATTCTGTTGAAGCATGATGGAAAGTAACATCTCATCTCCAGTTTTCATTTTCATACTTTATTTATTATTTTGTTCATATGTGACCATTTGGGTTTTTTTGTCATTAAATGTGGGAAAGCAATAATGTTGACCATGTCTATTTTCTGTGCTCTAATATTTAGTAAAACGGTACGCTCCAGGGAAACCACAGTCTTAATTGGGTCAACAAGCTTATGGCTTATTTCTAGCTGGCAGTCTGCTTTCTCAATTGCAGAAGCAGACGTGTGTTTAGGATCATTGCCCTAACCCCATGCACATTTCCACCATCTCACCCAAGCTGTCACACTCAGATATATGAACATTAGTTAGAGCTGCCAGGAACAAGCCAAGAACGTTCTAGGCTCCCGATATCATAAGCTGGAACCTTATTGTGCTTTTGTGTGTCCATAAAAACAGATACTGCTTTAAAACTGTAAACAAAAAGCCTAAAGTTTGCATTTTCATACAAGTATGCCAAATGAGCCCTGAAAAGTTTTATTGTTCAAAGAGAAAGTGTCAGCAATCTTTTCACAAAGGTATTAGATATGTTGAGGCTTTCAAGCCATCAGTTGTTTTTTCGTATACATTTTATGCCAATGGTAGTGGTGCATGGTGCAAAGTGGGTAAAAACACTTATTAAATTTATAACGCCACATCTCAGTTAAGAAACCAATGAGTTTTAATGAGCACTACAGTTTCTGATGGGAGGATTGCTCCACTTTCCAGTCAGAGTTAAACTAGAAATCATCAACCTGTAAAGGTCTGGAGCCTGGTCCCGACGCTTTGGAAGGCTTTACCATATTAACTGGAGAAGCAGCGCAAGTGAAGTTAGACACCGCCGTCGGACAACATACTGTAATTTATAAATGTTTTAAATCAGGTTGGGTCCAGATTAGCCAGCAGGTTTGGTCCAAATCCGTGACCTCTGCTCTAGAAGTTGTTTGATGGAGGATTCTCTAGAAGTTTCCATGGGACATTAAAACCTGTTAGTGCAGATGCATGTACGCATTTGACACTATATCAACCATTTAAATCTGAGAAAAGACCTGCAGGAAACTAATGTTGTATTCAATTATATACTGAAACCTCAAATGCATCATTAAGAAACTGAAATTAAAAACACATTTTTAAGAAACTAGGCTAGAACTATTTAATAACGATACATGAGATTTTTTTCAATCATAACCAGTTTTATAAGAGAAAAAAATCCATGATACATTTGATGTGTTTTAGGCAGCCTGTAGATGCTGGGGATGCCTGCTTTAATCAAGTGATGAAAACAAGGTAGATGCTGCAGGACAGTAAATGATCCTCGCTTACTTTCCTCTGCAATAAATCCTTTGACAAAGTGTGGAAATATTAAGAGAATTAAAGCTGAATTCATCACATCCTCTGAAGACTTTAATTAAAACGCTCTTGGCTTTTGTTTTAAGCTGCCCCCTGTCACACTTGCATGGCACTAAGGGACACTTTAGTGATTCCCTTCACAACAACATTTCTAGAGTTCCAGTGACGACCGACGTCAGTTCATTAATGTGATCCGGCAAACTGAAGACGCCAAGAATCACCGATTAGCCAGACATGCTTATTCCCAGGCTGTTTGGAGGAAACATGAGCATTGGAAAGAAAACTAAAAACAAAGGCACAGATGGAACATGGAAACTCTGCAAACAAACTGTGAGGGACCGACTCATTTAAACTACCAATTTAAAATTGCAAAACTGGAATAAATCCAAACTCACAAATAGCAAAACTAATAACAGCATTATTTATCTTCCTAAACATGCGTCCAACTTAAATTGATTCTGGCAAATTAACAACATCCGATGCTAATCAGAACCTTTCTGCTTATGCAAATTCTGCACAGTTGATTAGAATGACCAAATGCTTTACAGTTAGGTGAAATGTTTGAGCATACTAATGATAAATATTCAATGTTGAAGTATTTCAAAATAAAGGTTAAATCATTTTCTATTTCTATATAACTGAATAATGAAGAAATAATATTTTATTAAAATATTACAACTTAGGAATAATAACTTTTTTGATTTTTATTTTTTTTTATAAAAAAAAAAAAAAAAAACATGATTATGCCAACTCTCACAAAGTACAAAAAATGATGTTGCCACGGTAATGATGTAAAAAAGCGGGTCATTTTGAAAGATTTCAATTGGAAATTTCATGTATGGTTTCGCTTCACAGCCAAACCATACATGATATCTAAAAATGTCCTTCTACTTCAGCGCTAGACAGGTCTGATGATGATATATACCAAGTTTCATGTTTGTACATCAAGCAGTTTGAAAGAGACAGCGTCTTTCCTGGCTTAATCACCTGTATGATGTTGTATTTGTAACTCTGGCATAATAAGTCATACCAATATCGTCCCAAATGAGTCTTCTCATTGAGGGTTGAGACATCCTACCCCCCAGAGGGTCTTTACTTGTCCTGAAGTTTTTCTGTTCCCCCTCTCTGACTTCTTTTGTAGACAACAAAGTATTCCTCTTTACACGGCTCTCATGACCTCTGAACCTCTAAATTTCCTTACCGGTTGAACAGAAGTGTAGTTTTTTTTTTTTTATTGTTTTTTTTTTTTGCAATAGCAGCAATAACAATGTTTTTTAGGAATGTTTTTTTTTGGGGAGCTTCGTTTAGCTGTTATGTTAAGTCATATTAAAGTCGTAGGGAAACGGCTGTTCCAACGGTTGCATTTCCGAATTCTCCCGAGTGGTGCCCGACTTTACACAAGTGAATAAAGTGAATGTGATTGGTCGTTTATCAAGGGGGTGGGATTGTTGTGGCGGAACGTTCGCAAAAAAGTTTGATTGTGGCTGGTTTGTCGGAAGCATCTTGCTAACCAGTTAGCAGCTTAGTGCTAGTAGGTTCCCAATGGGAAATTCCATTGGGACCAAGTAGCACTAAATTGGTGACTTAGAAACGACACTGTCAGGTAACGCTATGGACAGAGGAAACATGCAAGAGGAGGAGAGTTTAGTGTCGGAGGTCGTGGATGAGTCTCCTCCGTCAGACATTTTTTATTTAGAGGAGGAAATCGGGGACCAAGATGTTGTGGAAGAGGACGCCAGGGCGGCAGAAGCTTGGTTTGGTGTAGAAGGCTTACAGCCGTACATGTTTGAGCCCTTGCCTCGCAACGCTGCCAGTTCTGTTAGCTCTACGCCTGGTGAAGACACAGACGTCCATCCCCGTGAACACTGGGAGGGAACTCAATGGGGAAGGAAATAATTCTTATTTCTTATTTCAACCTTTACGTATGTTAGCAGCAACATACGAGTCAAGATGCTATGACCAAAAAAAATTTATTGACAGATGCCTGTTGATATATGATTGGCCAAATTTATGTGTTCAGGCTGACGTATGACTAACTGGCCTGCAGAAGAAAATGAAAAGAAAAAAAAACACAGATTTTAAGACAGGTTTTTTTATTTTAAATAGAAATGTTTTAACTTTTGGGACAATATGGTCTGATAAAGAGCACATTTATATACATGTTTAAGCCAGAATGATTAGACATTAAAATATGACTTCCCTAAGACTTTAAATCATATTAGATATACATTTGTTCTAAAGTGTGAGACAAAAAACAAGCCTTTGCTCAGTGAGTGGAAACACAGCTGAAAGCCTCCCTACTTCAGCTAGATTACATCATTGGAAGCTCCACCTGAACTGAGAGTATTCCCCGTGTGATTTAGCAGGTCAGACCTCCAACTAGCAGCTCGACAAACTCGGACGATTGACAGCAAGTCAAGGTTGTGTTATTGCCTTGCTCAAAGGCTTTTAGACAGAAGAGTTTCATTGAATCTCTGGCATTTTTTCCTCCAAGAAAACCCATCCCGCATCATTCTGACCGTTTACAAGCTCGGCCCCGTAGAGTCCAGAGAATCCTGACGGAGGAGGCGGCGCAGCGGAGCTAATCTGTGAAAGGAAAGTAACACCTCTCCACAACCCCCAACAGACGCCTGTAATTCAGCTGAGCTCTTAATAAGATAACAGTTCGTCATGTGCTGTCTTTATTCTTTACCTGCAGGAAGAGGAAAACTAATTCAGCTATGTCTCCTCAGACTCTTCCTATTTTGTGTTGTTCTCAACATGGGTTATTGCTAAATGTGGAAAAATATCAGGAGATCCAGTCTTTGCTGTTTGCAGCTAACGTAGGAACAGTCAATACAGATCAACAGATTTGTTGAATCTCCAAACTCCTTAAAACTGCTTCAAGTTTGACAGTATGTCAGACTCTATAAAGTATTTTTAAAGGTTATTTTTTTTGAGAGAAATAATTCATCCCATTTTTTAAATGTTTTACTTGTTTACTACACATTACAATCCACTACTCGCTATATTACCAGTTATATGCTGCTATTCATTGTCATTATTTTTCCATCGAGAACTGGTTCCAGAAATAATACAAAGAAAACTGGGGGATAAAGGTTTGTTATGTAAGGACACATACTGACCATATCTGATTACACTGTATTGATGTTACCAAGATTTCATCAGTGACCTTGGCTAATATAGGCTGAAAAAAATCGCCTGTTGCTTTAAAAACCTAGCTACCAATAGTTGCCAGGTAGTGCAAACGGTGAACTTTGCCTCTTGATCTAGGTGCTGTTTAAAGCTGCTGCTTATTTACTCTGAAAGCAATTCCTCAGACAAACATCTGATACATTTAAATAATTCTAGAAGTAAAATTAAAATAAAAAATAAGGTCAGAAAAGCTGAACCATTTCATCCCAGCTCTTGGGTCCTGCTGGAAGGTGAACCTCTAGTCCAAGTCCAAGTCATCTGCAGTATCCAGCAGCTTTTTTTCCAGATCTTTCCTGTATTTAGCCCTATCCATCTCCCTATAACCCTGACCACCTTTTTACTCCCAGTTGCACAAAACCATTTTCACAGCGTCATGCTGCTAACGCCACTTTCCACCATGTTTCCTGCCATAAAGCATTTGAATGTAATCCAATCACGATTAGTTCTCCTAGTCTGGAAAATTCATGCTTTCCAACAGGCTTCATCCAGAGTTAAGGGCTGGTTATCCTCCCCCAGCAGCATGTCATAGTAAGCTTGTTGCAGATATTTTTGACTTATGCTTAATATTGAAGCGTGGTCTGTGCTATGTTATTCAACGCCACAACGCAAGAGGAACAATCAGGAATTAGCTGAGGCGGTGAGGAAGTTGGGGCAAGTTTGTGCGACAACGGAGGGACATGAGGGCGAAAAAGAGTGGGGATCCAGGTTGACCTCGCTCTTCTTTCTGGTCAATCTTCGTTTTGTTCGTTTTCCACAATGGCGGTCATACAACCAAAACAAGCCGGTAAGGTACCAAACAGGAAATACGCATAGTGTAGATCGGATGTAGATTTGACCAATCAGAGGCCTCTTGTCTGCGGTCACCTACAATTTGGGAGAGGTGCAGCAGGGTGTCTGCGGAGGGGGCGATGACGTCCCTGCGTTCACTGCAACACCTACGCCGACGATCTAGTTTCAAAGTATAAATCAGCCTTTACTGTAAGCCTTTTGGATGGTTCTCTTAAATCGTTCTGGATGGATTCTTTTAGGCAGAGGGACCATGATATCCATCATTATTTTCTAATTCATTTGAAGCAGAACACTTTATTTAGGTTAGTCAGAGTAAAAAGGGCTAAATTTTTATATAATTTTTTTATTAACCGTGTATAATATTTCCCCCATTTAGTAATCACCTTGTATTTTGCCTGGGGAATCACATTAAATCCATTTATAATACATCAATTCCGTTCACATAATCCTGATTTCAGTTTTTCTTCATCCAAACCAGATGCATCCACTCATTTCTACTGAAGGCAGCTTTATTTATTAAATTTGGCAATATCAAAGGCGGCACTGATGACACATCCCAGGGGCCTTGATTACAGTCTTTCTCTGCCCGTTTAAAAAATAAAAATAAAAAAAATGGGTGACTCAAGGGATTGCTGTGGAGGTGTCTCACCGGGACATAATGCCTGTAAGGTGTCATGGCTGCTCCTTAGGGTGCTGGTTAGATGTCTCTGTGTGCTGCCGGCAAACAGCAGAAAGTAGTCCACGCCCTCATCATCTGCAGCCAGCTCTTCATCAGAAAGCTGCACTGTGACGACACACCGACCCTGCTGAGACGAAAGGGAGACAAAGTGAAAGGAAGAGATTACATTGTATCACACTAGAAGGAAGAAAATGATACTAGTTTTCAAAATGTTGTATAAAGATCCAGTTTTAGATAAAAAATAAATCCCACACAGCAGAGGGGCCCGCATCTTGGCTACGTTCACACTGCAGCCTGAAGTTACCCAAATCCGATTTTTTTGGCCCATATGTGACCTGGATCCGATCTTTTCATGGCTGTCTGAACAACACAGATCCGAATTTTTCCAATGCGACCCAGGCCACTTGGCTATATGGTCCTGAATCCGATACGAATCTGATGCATGCGGGACACTTGCGTTGTATGACTGCAGTTCACACAGGAGATCACATAAAAGTCGCATATATTTGGAAATGTGAATGGCAACGCAAAAAAAACGTATTTCACAAAAAATTGTAAATGAGCATCAAGGCCTGCAGTGTGAACGTAACCCTTCTCAGCATCTGATGTAGCTACAGATGTGGTGAAATAATTACTGTTCAGTCATTAAATCCAACTTTTCTTTACAGAAAATCAACCAAAACCTTAAATACTTATCAATTAACCCAAGCAGACAAGAGTTTGATGTTAAAATGCATAGCGTTTCCTTGGGGAGAGCAAATTTTATCTCATCGTCTCTGGTTTATTGCATTTTTAAAAAATAGTCCAGGCTTTATTATTACAAAAAAAAAGAAATCAATAAAAGTGGTTGTACGCATGTGGGTGGGAACAAACATTTTCACTAACAGTTTAAAAAGTATTGGCAGCTCAGATTAGCAGTTAACAGACAGCCACTCCATTTGTCTCCTCTACGTTAACAGTTTGGGGCACAGCAGGTCATTTAAAAAGAAAATAGAAAATCCATGTTCAGTTAATTTGTGTGCACTACTCAACAGTTAAACTGTAAGACTGTAAATATTGCAAAGCATATTTATGCACTCATGCTGCCTGCTTTATTTCTAAGGCAACTAAGGCCCAGGCAGGATAATTAGAATGACTTTGTGTCATCACGGGGAGAAAATAGCACTATTGTTCATCTCATCTTTGTTTTCGATTGGGGACAACAGCTAGGGAGATGTCTCACCAGCTACTCAGAGTGCTGTTACAGCTTTTTCACCTAACATTGGCAGCTTGACAAGGCGGCCTGAGCTTCACAGGGTTAAAGGTGTTTCCTCCTCCTCATAAAGCGGTAGCTTCTGGGGGGAGAACAGTCTGCAGGCAGCAGAGAGACTAACCAGCTGTCTTGGGACCAGTAGGCCAGAAAAGCTGCAGAACAGTTTGAGAGTGGAGGAAACATGTTCAAAGTCGACCCAGAGGCCACAGGCTGAGAAGCAGCCTGGAGTGACTTTCAGAAAGCCAGAACCATGGAAACCGCCTTGCAGCAAGGAGGTGCGTGTTTAGCAGCACTCTGAGCGTGTCGCCTTTAACAAGGAGAGATGAGGAATTGGAGTAAATGAGTTGTGGACCTGTGAAAGCCAGCAGGCATGACATTCTCTCTATTAAAAACTCATCTCTTATCCTCAGCTCCGACTGGAAATTAGGGTTTGCTGCTCCAGAGTGAATTGGTACCTCAGTGACTTTGGCAGTTTTGTATTCCATGGGAAAATGAAAATACATTGGTGTGAAATAAGTTCCACATTTTTGCAACGAACAAAGGAGAAGCAAAAGGAGAAAAGATTTTCTCTCTTCCGCTCAAAGTGCGTGGCAAATTACTTCAGACGGAATACCGACTTGTTATATTCGGTGCAGCAGCTGCTTGGACTTCTTGCAGCAACTCAGCAGTCTCACATTTTGTCCAAATCACTATAGACCCATGGTAAATAACACAATAAGGAATTTTCTCTGAAATGAAAACACCTGAAAACTGATTTAACAAGTAAGATTCATGAAATCAATATTGGGTAATAGGAGCCGGGGCCGAGGAGGTGCTAAAAGAAACAGAAGTGAAAGCGGAGAAGAAAGTAAGCCGAATAAGATCACTAAGAGTCCTTTTGTTGGCAGGCGTTTGGGTGGAGGCAAAGACACAAGAGATGTGAAACATCTGCTGGCAACTGCAGGAAACAGACTTCCATAGACCATCTTTGCAAAACATGCAAAACAGACATGTAAAAACAGCCGTCCACACAGAAACTGCGACGGCTGAACCTGAAAACTATAATCATGTGCAAAAAAAGGACATTTTCGTGACCCTTATGTGTCTAACTTAAATGACACATAGAAAATATCAGTTTAAAAGCTATTTAAAGTCTTCCTGTGTGTTAATGGATGTCCACATTACTTCGTTAAGTACTTAAAACCAGCGGAGAGCAAAGTAACCTGCAGGGATATTGACCTGCTAATCATCAAGATTCAGCAAGAAGCAAGAAGCTCTTTAGCAACATGAAAAGCACAGTTGGAGGCTACGAACCCAACCCCCTTTTTCTGAGTATGCATGTAACATACTGCTGCGGTTTGTCCAGGTGAGCTACAGGCTGAAATTAAATCATAAATGATTTATAGTAAAACTCGATATTTATATGCAGGTGGACAAAAACAATCCATAGATTAGACCCACAGTATTCAGGCCAACGTGTCAGTGGGGATGCTTAGACAGGTAGCTCTCCTGATCATATCAGGCAGAAAAGCTCATCCATGAGTGGCGCTTAATGTTTTTGAGAATTCTTGAGTTGAAAAATGTTATTTTACAAGAAGATTTTAAGCAGGAGCAGATTTTGGGGGATTTATTAAATTTAGCTAAATGTGTGAGTGAAGCTCTGGAAATTAAGAAAAGAGTTGCAGTATTTCCAGTTAAAGGTTAGCATGCTGTATAGACTTAGATTTATTTTGTCATTGTGTATACAGAAGTGTAGACAAAAAGAAATTTCTTTCATAACAGCTCTCTAGATATTTCATTTTTCAAAATGCAGCCTTGATAAGGTAAGCAGCAGTTGTTGAGCTGCTACTACTGCCTCCAGCTCCTGAAGCACTCGCTTCTCCTGGCTCAGGGGAGGAAGAGGATGAGGATGACGATGTTTTGAGAGTGGTAGCCCCCTGGGTTTAAGAGGCTGATGTGGTTGAAGCAGCAGCTGTGCCATCGGCAGGTTTAGCAGCGACAGACGATGCTGAAGAAGGTTTGGAAGCTGGCCGGGGCCGGGCCGGGAGGAGCCGGCTGAGGATGGTTCAGTATTTGGCAGGGAAGCATCTAGAGTTCTATCCTCATTTTCACCTGCAGAGGACTGTGCTTCCCCTCTAGATGCTGAAGATTGCCTAGAAACAGTCTAAGAGGAGCTTCCATTCACTCAGAACTCTTTGTTTCTATTGGCACGGTACAGCATAAGCCCCCCCCCAGGCCAACAGCACCGTCCGGTACTGCTGGACGCAGCCAAGACCCCATCGGAATGATGGCGCAGCAATTACAAATCTACTCTTTTAAAAAGTTGGAGTCAGAAATTATCCATTTTGTTTTCCAATGAGCAGATGTTGGAGAGCAGGATTGATGGAAGCCTGATGATCTGCAGCCTCCGTCTCGCGCATCTCTTCCTCCGTCTGTTATTTTTCCCTGTTGTTTTGTTGACATCCGTCTGTAGCACTCCGCAGCTTTTTAAACGGTCAAAAATGTCAGTATTTAAAACATTTTGTGACCGTAGCTCCAGCAGGCATTGGCGATCATAGGTGCAGGTTTGGTCAAGTTTGTATCGTTTTAAGCAGCATATTTTGTGGAACCTACTAGCACTAAGTTGCTAACTGGTTAGAGGAAACCGGCCTCAATCAAACTTGCTTGCGAACCTTCCGCCACAACAACCCAGTCCTCTTGATAAACGACCAATCACATTCACTTAATTCAATTGTGTAAAGTCGGGTACCACTCGGGAGAATTCAGAAATTCTCAGTTGGAACAGCCGTTTCCCTACGACTTTAAGGCCAGAACACACCGAATCCGATTTTGGGTCCGATCTGGCAGAAAATTGCGTCAGACAATGTTGTGACATTTAGAGCTCATTAAAAGTCAAAGGGGATGATCAAACCGACACAATTTTACGCAAGGGGGCTTGCGTAGGTCTGACTGAGACAGACCCGAGGTCTATTTCAGTCGGACTACGAAGCAATTCAGCAATAATTGATCTAACAGGAAGAGATCCTCTTTGAGCATCACAAAAAAAACAAGATCAGCATAGAAACCATCCCACTGGGTTTTCCTTTTCTTTAGATATATATCTCATTATGTTTTTTTAACATAAGCCTATGGACATTCTCTATCTGAGCTGGTTTGATATTCTTCACAGACTCATTAAGTGGGACTTTGCTTTATAGAATATGCCAGTATTTTTTTTGTTTTTTTTATAACTTTTCATAATGTATCCAAGTCAAATGTGGGAAATTGTTTTAATTTGTAGCACAGACACATCTGCACAGATCTGCTCACCCTGCCTAATCAGAGCCTCTCTGTAATCAGTCAATGTGACATGTAAAATAATCAGATCAGAGATATTCAAAACTCACACACAGCCGGTATGTTTAAGCCTTTAAGGATGCCTAGACTTCCATGTTTCAGGCTACTCTTTTACCAACACTGCACTGTTAGATAACCCTTCAAATTCTCATATAATTGTCACCTAGATTGTTCTGTGCAGCACCTCTGGGTCACAAAGGACAAAAACTTGAGGAAGACATTGATGCAGAGGCTGTATTGTTTACAGAGAATGTCATTTCCATCCAGGGGGACAAATGAGATGGTTTTGGTTAATTATACAGTAAATTCCTCACTTATTGCTCCATTAAACAGATATAAAGAAGCTATCAGACACCAGGCTGAAATCTCTGGCTCATCATCCTTCCACTTGCAATGAACATTCATACCTCTTTAAACGTTCCCCACTTTGTAGCATTAAAACCATTCATTCAAATGATTTGGGGGGGGGATTTATGCAATAGACCAACACATAGGTATGCATAATTGTGAAGCTAAAGGAGACGGTTTTTTTTACAAATGAAATGTGAAAACTAAGATGTGCATACGTTTTCAGTTCCCGCTTAACTTAGTCATGCTTAAAAGAATCTAGTCCAACAAATTGCTTTCAGGAGTCACCAAGACGGTTAATACAGTCCATCTGTGTCTTATTTATTCTTGGCTTGAATCCAGTGGATCTGCAAAGGTCTCAGAGGTTCAATAGAGAGTAGTTTACTAACAGCATCATAGACATCAAGGATCACAGCAGACAGATCAGTGAAAAGTTGGGTAGAGTTTTAAGGCGCGGTTAGTTTCTAAAACATTATTCTAGAGGCTCTTACGCTTTAGACAAACCCCCATAAAGATGCAGCTCCAACTGCAGTTAATGTTAGTTATGCAATGTATTGATTTAACATAAATGAATGTCCCATTTTTTAAAATGTGGATTTTAAAATAATATTTCCATCTATTTAGCACTGCTAGCCAAATAACCCATGCTGAAATCTGAGGTGTGCAGTCCCAGGGGGCATGAATATTTCTGCAGGCTCTGTAACCATATGCCTACCAGCTCATTAAACTGTTAGCGCCTCTAAAAGGTACTGTCGGCCGAATGCCAAAAATGTAAATAACATGTTTAGGCTACTGAAAGCAAAGAACAGCAGAAGCTCTTCCTGTTATAGAAAGTAACTCCTTTTTCTACAGGCCATCCCTCCCTTTGCAGATCACATGGTTTCATAGTCCTCTACAGCATAAAAATCATCCCCCATCTCCGTTTCAGTATCCGTTTTCACTGACTCACTACAAACTCATCATTTACCACAGTAACAAACTAACATCAAGGTCTCCTTTACCCACAACCTTTAGAAAACGACTTGTTCCAACAATTAGGGAGCTAGAGCAGTTTGTGTTTATCGCAGTCACAGACAGACCACTACAAGCCATCGCTGAGTCAAACACCTTCCTAAAATCTGCCGCCTAATGAGGCTTAAACGCCTGCCTGGTCTCCATAAAGAAAGAGATTATAAATCACAGATAAGCTTATCTGGCTGGTAAATGAGTTAAATACAGGCACACTCACATTGAACACACTTCTATAACCTATATCTGGTTCCTGTGTGTACCCTCTATCCCTGCTAGTGATAAGGAGAGCAGTGGAACCACAAATATCCCAAAACTTCCACACAGACACACACACTCCATTAAATATGCATCAAATTATCCAGGAGCCACAAGAGCAACTGCATATACTTTAGAGCAATTTGTAAGGAGATCAAACCGAAACACTTCAGCTATTGCACCAAATGTGTAATTAAAGAATAATTAGCAGTATAATACTGGCCTTAAGTGATTATAAGAAACTTTACAGGCTTTTCATTTTCTGTTTAAATGAGTGAGTTAGTTTGTCCCACTGAGAATTTTTTTTTTTTTTTTGGCTTTGCATTTTTCAGACCTGGCTTTAACATGCCTCCTAAGTAGGAAATATGACTAACTGGATGTGTTCTCCTTCATCCTCTGACATGGGAGCTGGCTCAGTTTCCTGGAACGGGGCCGCCTGTGGAGCTGCTTCTGTCTCCTTGAACCAGTCGGCCTCAGCAGATGGCCGCTCAGACTTAGCCTGGTTCTGCTGGAGGTTTCTTCCTGTTAAAATGGAGTTTTTCCTGTCCACTGTCGCTACATGCATGGTTAGTGTGAGGAATTGCCTTCGAGTCAATGGCTACGTTCACACTGCAGCCTGAAGTGACCCAAATCCGACAGTTGCCTTTTGTATCTATTTTTCTTTTTCTATATCTGCCTCTGTGTCCTTCAACCCCAGTCGGCCTCAGCAGACGGCCGTTCACACCGAGCCTGGTTCTGCTTTAGGTTTCTTCCTGTTAAAAGGGAGTTTTTCCTCTACACTGTCGCTACAACATGCTTAGTGTGAGGGATTGCATTCGAGTCAATCAGTCGATGCAATCAACTGGTTTTCCTTCGATAAAAAAATTGACAGGATGATCTGGTTGAATTGTCTCTGCAAAGTACCTTGAGATAAGTTGTAAATCTAGGGGTAAGTCACGTGGAGTACTTTTTTGTGATTGGCTTACACAAGGGAGCTTTGTGATTGGTGGTAAACCATCCCCTGTAACAAAAAGCATTTTTCTATCGAGGCACATCATGGGAGTCTCAAAAATCCACACACAAATGCATTCAAGTTTAAAGACCACTGGTTCTTTGTAATTTAATTTATAATTGTTTATGGACCAGGAATACTTTAGTGAATCTTGTACTGTGTATTAGAGACTGACATTTCTTCGGGAATCCCACGGGTCACGGGATTCCCGTGGGATGGGAGTCAGTATTAGTAACGATCACGTGATTGAGACGGTACAGGATTAAACATTAACGGGAGCAGACGGGAGCGGGAGCAAACCAATAGTAACTAAAGAAAACTAGGATCGATGCCAAAAAATTTAATAAAACAGAAAGAAAAATATCGAGTACTGGCGCCACCATTTTGTAGTTTTTTTCCTTGAAGCCTACACTATAATACGAGTCAAAAAAACTACACGACTCAAAAACCATTTATAATTATTATTCCTTTTACTTTAACTGACCTTTACTACAGTTAGAAACAGGAACTTAACTGACCCTTCATAGAAATTCAGATTCAATGTATTGGCAGAAATCTTATTGAAGACAACAAGAATGGGAGTGGTGCAGGAGCGGGAGTCATTCTGAATGGGAGCGGGATGGGAGTGGGAGTAATTTCACCAGGAGTGGGACGGGGCAAGATTTAGATTTGTACTCCGGCCCGGGATCGGGACGGGACACAATTTTTTTCTGTGGGAGTGGGACGGGACAGGAGTGAAAATCCACTCCCGTGTCAGTCTCTACTGTGTATGTGTGAAACACATTTGTGAAAATTGAGACCGTTCTAGCTCCATAGAATACACACTAGAGCTGGTTAAAGTTTACGCTGTGCTGACCTGACAGGTTCAGCAGACTGACTCCTATTCACATCACTACAAAGAAGACACACTAGCCGGAAAAGTGAAAGCACTTAAATATGTAAACAACTGGTGTTTATTTGTGTGAGAGTAGGAAACACAACTGGGTGCACTGGAGAAACTGCCTCAAGTGCACACTAGAGCTATTGTGATTGTTGATACTTACATACAAAGGAGCTTGCTGGGGATTGAGTTTCATGTCCCTGGACACTGGAAAGAAAAGAGCAAATTACAGGTAAATTAATGTGGAATAATTGTCCAGAATCTGCTTTAAAGCAAAAGGAATTCTAAAAGTATAAAAAAGAAATGTGATATAAACACAATAATCCTCATTTTAACAAAACAAAAAAAAACCAGCCTTCTCTGGTTAATTTGTTCTAAATTTCAGCTTGACGTCAATGCCATCCTAAATGCCAAGGAAAGCTTTGCAGCAAAGCTCTTAGAAAATGTATCCTTTCAAACGAAACAGACATAAATTCAATGCATTTATTCAAAAAGCAATATGATTCAGACACTTTAACATTAGTCATCCAGGTTTGTTTGCTTCCTGCTATTTAGACATTCCTTTGAAAGGGGCCAGTTGATTGCTGCAGAATGCACTTTGCAGACATAGTTTGCATGAGTAAGATATGAAGTAATGTTTATCTTCCTCCCAATAACTTATTTATTTCACCAAACCTTATTTTTATTCTACAGTTTAATTTTAAGAACATCATCAAATGCACCCCACCACAGTGACACCATGTCCCAATGACAACAATCTTCATAGATGTTGATTAGTCAGTATGACTCAAACTTATCTGCTCTCCGTAGCAGTAAAGTCCCTAGTTAGAGGAAAGAGAAGTGGGATGTTTTTTAAAGAAAAAAAAAGATTTTTTCATTGCTTTCACTGCTGCAAAAACAACATGATGTCATTTTATTCTCTCACTCCTGTTTTGGGGTTTCTCACTGCTTGTTCTAATCACAACTTCTGAGCAGAACACACCACTGCCATTTCTCAATATGTGTACTTGTGCGTTTTTGTGTAATCATTAAACGTCATCAACCTCAGCCCTAGTACTGTTCCAATTCCCAAGAACCCAAGACGGAGAACGGGCAAAGTCCCCGGATGTTGTTCTAGCCCCTCCCTCTTTACCTATCTATCAGCATGCAGAGCAGACTTTTCCATTCTTGAGATTGACAGCTGTCCCAGCATGCACTGCGCTTACAGAGCTCAGAGTATGAAGATAAATGTTTTCTTTTCTATTGCTGTTCTTCAATAAAAGTACGTTTTAAGATAATTTGAGGCGGGAATATTATAGTTTTAAGAGTCACTATATGGCCCATTTACTGATTTAGTGTGTAATAAAAAAAAAACAAATCCGAAGTTGAGAGGACGCGGCAACCAGCGGACCTCCAAGGCTAACCGCTGGCTCTGATGGCGATATTTTTGCTTTATTTGGCAAAATGTTCATTTGATTTGTGTTTTTCTGACTGTGTTCATTATTATTCCCCAACTAAATGAAAAAAAGTCATAATTTATTATTATCTAGAGACTATTAATAGCAGGAGGTGAAATGCAGCTCCAGACGAGCCGAGTGTGTGGTGACATCATCAGTACGCTTCTGTTCCGGTTGACCCAGATTTAAGCTGCGTGCTCCCGTTCTCACCAAGTCCAGACTTTCCTGGGTTCTTTTCAAGAGCATACTTGGCGAGAACACAAGTCCCTACTCTTGTTCTTGTGAATATAGAAACTGCCCATGAATATCTCCATCATAGCGTGACAGCGCCCTCTATAGGCTAAAGCAATCATAGGCTAGACTTAGCACTTCTAATCAGAAGAAATAGGTGGTAGAACGTAGACTGCAATCAAATAGATATAAAAGTTTAACAGAAAAGTTTAAAAAGTCAGAGATTTCTTTGTTAATCTTGTCTATTCTGTTATGCAGTCAAAACCCAACACCAACTGTACTGCTAACCTGACATTATCAACATTTTACTGCTTGCAGCAAATATATTCAGCAGCAGAGAAGACCTCGCTTCTAATATAATGTGACGCTGCGCATAATTCAACAGACCTGTTCCAGTCTTATCAGATTTTATGCTCACACTTCAGTAACTTCTCGTCTCATGATGTCAAGACATCGGATGGACCAGAGTGGTTCAGATGCATTTCAATCAGGGGAAGATTGTAGTTTTACCAAAATGTGACAAAGTTTCCGTCAATGTCCGATACAGAACGAGGAAAGTTTAATCTGCAGGAGCAAAATTCACAGCAGATGTGAGATAAATACAACAGAAGGTGTAAAACGATCATCTAACCGGGAGAGACTTAGAAGTATAGAAAGATAAGATCACCAAAAACTGACAGGCAGCTACAAAATGCTGCAGCAGTACATTTGGTTACCTGTTAAGTGGATGATGTGAAAATGTTATCAAATAACCTGCAATTTAACTTTATATTTAGGACTTTTTTCCCCCTACAGTCAAATGTTACACAGAGTGCATTACAGAGATGGAAAAAAATGTTCAAAATGAAAGGATACTATACAGAAACAATGAACTAAGGGTAGTACACAAAAAGCATTATTAACTTGAAAAAAAAAAACATTAGTTTAATATAGTACCCCCTATAATAACTGCTCATTTTAAGACAGGGGTGTCAAACTGGTTCCAGAAAGGGCCGTGTGGCTGCAGGTCTTCTTTCCAACAAAGCAATAGCACACCAGACTCCATTCATCTCATCAAGTCATCATGTTCAGATTGGACTCAGTTGATGAGATGAATGGAGCCTGGTGTGCCATTGCTCTGCTGGAAGAAAACCTGCAGCCACACGGCCCTTTCTGGAACCAGTTTGACACCCCTGTTTTAAGACAAAGACATCAAAACCACTTCAGTTCAAAGCCAAAACTGATGAGATTTATTTTAGGCTACATTCACTGCCGGCTTAATTCCGATTTCCCTCTGAAATCCGATTGTTTTAGCTCAGGTCGCTCATCAGACTTCTGTTCGAATGGCTGAGGACACCAAAGCAACCTGCTTACACAGAAGGAAAATGTAGGCCTCATACAGCAGTGCACTGTTTATGGAAGAAATAAACAATGCAACTGTCACTAGACGTGATTAATAAAGCTAGTTTAAAATAAAAAAACTTTTAAAAAACATGATGGTGGATGGTGATGTCTCTGCATTATTATTAAACTACTGAGTGATGAGAGCCAACAGCACGACAACAGTCTCTGATGAAGCAGACAGAGACTGCTGCTGCAGAGAAGTCTGTGTAGACATCAAGTGAAGATCCCTGGCAATGACATTAAATGCCCCATTTACCCTCTGGAACCAATCCGTGCTGAGTTCTGACCGAGCTTGGTTCTTACAACCATTTACACATCACGCTACTACGGTTCCTCGCCTCCTATCAGCAGTCCATGATACTAAAACTCTCAAGGCGGGAATTACGCAAAAATGGTTAAGCCCATAACATTCAGGAACTTTTGTGCCTAGATAGCGTCCTCTGCCCAAATGTCGGCATCATCCCAGGCCGCACCACGCTCTTCTGACGCCATTTATTGTTACCCTTTAAAGCCCGATCCAAGAATAAAACAAAACAGAAAATTACTTATTTTTTGGTTTGAATTCCTTATCTGCCCTTTTAACAAAATATGTAAAAAGGAAAAACAGAAATACATTTTTTAAAATTATTGATTTATTACTATGCGATAAGTCAAGATACTTTTTGTGTAGTCTTACACCTGGTTATTATCAGGTATACCTGATTGTGTACAATAGGATTTTGAGCAAAGTTTTTACCATTAAATTATGCAAAAGGTGTCAGATGCAAAACATTTCAGAAACCGCATGCATCAAATACGATACATTTGGCATTATAGGGTTAATAAGCTGAGAAGAAGTTGGTGTTGTAAACAGGTAAAGGGAACTGTGAATGACAAAGCTGAACACGCCGGAAAACCTGCAAAATGAGTCAGCTGACTGTAAATAGTAGATGCTGCGGTCTGCTGATGCACTTTGTTATCAGAGAACTGAGCCATAGATGAACCGTGACGAGTCCTACTGTTGAACTAGTACTAGATTTAACATGGTTCAGTTTTGTGTGGCACGGTCCAGTTTAGTTATTTTCCAATTACACTCAACAGTTATTTTGGTTACCGAGCTCAGACCGTTCCCCTTCACCAAACAGGAAATAAGCATAGTGTAGATCGGATGTAGATTTTACCAACCAGGCCTCCTGTCTGTGGCACTGTCTGCGGTCACCTACAATTTTGGAGAGGTGCACCAGAGTATCTGCAGAAGGGGGCGGGGACGTCTTTGCGTTCACCGCAACACACGCCGAAGACCTAGTTTCGAAGTATAAATCAGCCTTTTCAGTCCTGGGATCACTTGGCTGGATTAAGCAGTCGATTTTTCTATTCCCCAAGCTGAAGGTCAGAGGTAGTGGGTGTGTAATTACATAAAAAAACAAAAGGTTTTACAGCTATATATTTGAAGACAAATGGATTGGAACCCTTTCAGCTGAATTCTCCTGAAGAGATCTTGGCGAGCTCGCATTCATGGAAGAGTCAAGGATCTGTTCCACTCCGAGCCCCCGTGTTCTCCTCTGTTATTTGCAGAGACAATTTTCTTTTGTTTGCTGTTCCCTGGCACTAAAACAAGTCCTTGCTTCTGGCCTCGGTGGTTAGCGGTGCATTAATCACATCAACCCCAGAGCGGGGGAGGCGGCGACAAAAGGCCGGGACCTAATGAGTTCAGCAGAGAGAGAGAGCTGTGGGAGAGTCAATGCTGGAGTCAACAGAGCATCAAAGCATAACACAGCCCAGCAATCTCACTTTCTGGAGCCCAGTCCAAACATTTTTCCAATTTTCTGCTAAACATACAGGCCTGAGCTCACATTAGGCGGATCAGGTAAGGGGATAATCAGCAGCTCTAATAATACTCTGGAGTCTAATCCTCTTGCCTTAAGTGCACTGGGCCAGGGACCAGCTCCCTCACTACCACGCCACATATTGACTTATAAGACACGCCTGTTCTCTTATTCTTTTAACATTTCAGTATTGTCTGCTGCTACTCCAGTGCTTGTTATTTTATTTTGACAGCATCTTAGAGACCTGTGTGATCTAGCTTGCAGCACATTGGGAAAATATTAACAAGACGCACTGTCACATTCGCAGTATTCAGCAGGCACGTGCAGAGGGGGGGGCTAAGGGGGCTTGAGC